GACGACGCTCCAGTCGACTCAACACCCGTGTCGTCCGAGGCCTTTTAGGACCTTGCTCTTCAAGTCCGAGCCCTGATGGAAATGGTGCAAACCATTATCCCGCTCATTTCTCATCTGGCGCACCCGCTTGCGATCGAACCACTACGATAATGCAAGGTGCCCATTCGGGCCCACATGACGCTTCCGGAGCCCCCACTTTGCCTCGGGTCCGACCGGCCCCACTCGGGGATCTAGTGATGGCAAACCCGAGCGGCCGCCCGGAACCCGAGGCACTCTCTTCGGACTCCCTATGGGTACAGTTGTGCTTCGTCAGCCAGCGACTCGACGAGGTGCAGAAAGAGGTTCGCATGTCCAAGGGAGAGCTCGGGGAGGACGCACACCAAGGGTCTCCCTTCGCGCCCGAGATACGGGATCTGACAGTCCCCCCGGACTTCCAGCTCCCCTCTCTGGACACTGACGATGGCTCCACCGACCCAACGGACCACGTAGCCGCTTTTCGTGCCCAAATGGCGCTATACGGAACCTCTGATTCCCTGATGTGCAGAGCGTTTCCTACTACTCTGAGAGGGCCAGCCCACGCGTGGTATGGCGACTTGAAGACTGGAACGATTGCTTCCTTCGATCAGCTCGCCAATGACTTCGAGCTCCACTTCGTAGTCTATGCACAGCCAAGGCCCTCCGCGGCACTGCTCCTAGGACTCAAACAAAGGGAGGACGAGCCCCTCTCACATTTTGTGGATCGCTTTGCCACGCAAATCTGGGGTTTGCCGGACACTCACCCTTCTCTGTTGGTGCAAGCATTTATAATAGGCCTGTGAGCTTCCAGATTCCTCCGGTCCCTCGTGGAGTGACCCCCCACCACGATGCCAGAGATGCTCCAGCGGGCTACCTAGTGCATCGCGGTGGAGGCCTGGGCGACCGTAAGGAGAAGGGACGACTTTCTGCAGCGGCCTCCATAGAAGGGGTCAAGCACCCGCGATGGCTATCAGATGTAGTCCTCGTGAAAAGAAATTTAGGCCCTGCCTTAGTCTCTTCCGAGCGAAGGTTCAGTATCTACCTGACTACCCCCCGGTTCGCGGTTAGTCCCGGCCTAAATCCTTCTGAATCTACACGGCTCAGCCGAAGTCTGCCGAGTCCACCTCAGCATGGCCTGCCCACCTGAGCCGTGTCCCTCGGCCGAAGTCTGCCGAGTCCACCTTAGCATGGCCTGCCCGCCCGAGCCGTTTCCCTCGGCCGAAGTCTGCCGAGTCCACCTCAGCATGGCCTACCCACCTGCGTCGTGCTCCTCGTCCCCATGCTCCCCGAGACACACCTGTGCGGCCAGCCTGCCTATGTCGTGCTCCTCGGCTCCTTGGCTCCATGCCCCGAGACACACCTGCGTGGTCTACCTGCCTACGTCGTGCTACTCGGCCGCATGATGCCCGAGACACACCTGTGCGGCCAGCCCGCCTACGTCGTGCTACTCGGCCGCATGATCCCCGAGACCACACCTGCGCGGCCAGCCCGCCTACGTCGTGCTCCTCGGCTCCATGCCCCGAGACACACCTGCGCGGCCAGCCCGCCTACGCCATGCTCCTCGGCTCCATGCTCCCCGAGACACACCTACGCAGCCAGCCCACCTGCATCGTGCTCCTCGGCTCCATGACCCGAGACACGCCTGCGCGGCCAGCCCGCTTGCGTCGTGCTCCTCGGCTGCTCGGCCTCATGCTCCCCGAGACACACCTGTGCGGCCAACCCGCCTGCGTAGTACTCCTCGGCTCTTCGGCTCCATGCCCCGAGACACACCTGCGCGGTCTGCCCGCCTGCGTCGTGATACTCGGCTGCATGATGCCCGAGACACAACTGCGCAGTCTGCCCGCCTGTGTTATGCTACTCGGCTGCATGATGCCCGAGACCACGCCTGTGCGGTCTGCCCGCTTGCTGTTAGGATCTAGAGCACTAAGAGGGGGGTGAATTAGTGCAGCGAAAATCTTACAACGATAAAGTACGTTCGAACGAAAAAAATGATTTCGGTGTGAAAGCCGATTCTAAGATTACTTTAACTTAAGATCAAGCTAGATGACTTTAAAATCAATCTATGAAGGCAGTTTGCAGTTATGATGAAAACCAGAGTGTAAGTGCAAACTGAAATACGACGTTCGTTCGAAGAAGCTGATTTACGTCTAAATGTTGATTCGTAAATCACTTTATTAGGCGAGATGCAATTTAAGCAAGTATATAAAGGCAGTTTGCAGTTATGATTGAAATCAAAACGGAAATGCAAACTGAAATATGATGATCGTACGAAAAAACAGATTTACGTCTAAACGCTGATTCGAAAGTGCAAAGCTTGAAACCCGATCGTATATGCGCAGAAAGTAGTAAGCTTTAGAGGAGGTTTGCAGTAAAGATAATATGCTCAAAGTAAATGCAAACCGAGATTTAGAGTGGTTCGGTCAATCTTGACCTACTCCACTTTTGGCTTCCTCCACCGACGAGGTCACCGACGTCAACTAGAGGTCTTCCTTCAATAGGCGAAGGCCAACCACCCTTTTACAGTTTCACTCCTTTTGACGGGCTTAGGAGACAACCCTTACAGAATTTTCTCTCCTCTCTTTACAACTCAGAACTTGGAAGAACAGAAGGAGAAGAACTTTTGGCCTTTACAACAATTTTGAGCTCTAAGAATCACAGAAAAAGATCAAGATTTCGGTGTTAGTTCCTTGCTCTTTCAGTGCTGAATGTGTGGGGTATTTATAGGCCCCAACCCAGTTCAAATTTGGAGCTCAAAACTGTCAATTCCCGGAATTCCGGGATCAAGCGGTTGCACCGCCTGGCAGAGCTCGAAGACTGAGCCTCTGGGCAGTGCTACCTTCTGTCAAGGGCGGTTGCACCTCCTGACAGAGCTCGAAGACCAAGCTCAGGCGGTGCCACCTCCTGTCAAGGGAGGTTGCACCGCCCAGTCTCGCACGGAGACTGAGCCCAAGCGGTGCCACCGCCTGGCTGGAGCGGTTGCACCTCCCAGTCTCGCTCGGAGACTGAGCCCAGGCGGTGACACCGCCTGGTTGGAGCGGTTGCACCTCCCAGTCTCACTCGGAGACTGAGCCCAGGTGGTGCAACCTCCTGCCTTGGGCGGTTCAACCACCTGGCAGAAATCAGGGTCCGAATGGGTTGATCCATTGGGCCCAATTTGGGTTTTTCAGGGGCCCAATTGCCCCAAGATTAAGTTAATGGGATCACCTCCCATTTCCAACTTAATCATTGTGCTAACTACGATTTTTCCTAAGACATTTACTGCAACTTGCTCCGGTGCGTCAATCGCTTCTTCCGGCGAACTTCCGTCGATTATCCGATGAACCCTCGGTGATGCTCCTGTGGACTTCCGGCAAACTCCTGGACTTACGATGATTCACTTGGCGAGTTCCGACGAGCTTCTTTGGCAAGCTTATGGACTTCTCGGATTTGTTCCCGCAGAACTTCCGACGACTGTCCGAACTTCCGTCAAACTCTCGAACTCCCAACGTGATCATTGTCTTAACTCCGGCGCAACTCCTGCTGCATGTCTTACTTTCATCGTAGTTAATCCTGCACACTTATCTCAACATATAGATTAGATAACAAATGATAATTGACTTCATCATCAAAATCCGAGATTCAACACCTGCGTCGTGCTACTCGGCCGCATGATGCCCGAGACCACACCTGCGCGGCCAGCCCACCTGCGTCGTGCTCCTCGGCTCCATGCCCCGAGACACACCAGTGCGGTCTGCCCGCCTGTGTCGTGCTACTCGACTGCATGATGCCCGAGACACACCTGCGCGGTCTGCCCGTCTGCGTCGTGCTACTCGGTCGCACGATGCCCGAGACCACGCCTACGCGGTTTGCCCGCCTACGTCGTGCTACTCGGCCGCATGATGCCCGAGACCACACCTACACGGCCAGCCCGCCTGCGTCGTGCTCCTCGGCTCCAACCCCCGAGACACAC